TTTTTTTTTTTTTTTTTTTTTTTTTTAATAATACTTCTTTCTGTACTACTTTGGACAGTGCTTTCTAAGCCTTGCCATTCACCTTCATAGGATGGAGCCTTCTGCCGCACAGGCTACACAAGGTTGGGCATTGCTAAGAGAAAATGGTTTGCTCAGAGACCATTTGTATAAGGCCAGTCCAGCAGTGGCTGATTGTTAAAATGATTGAAACTCTTCCAGTGACCAGTGCAGCATTGTGACTAGGGAAGTAATGTGGTTCTTCACCCTAGGCTGCTGTTCTCATGAATGGTAATGTTCATAGGGTTAACATTTGATGTACTTTCAAGTGGCCATGAGCCAGAAAGTATGGCTGTTTTTTTTTAATCTACAACTTGCTGCTATATAGTAACTTCATCTCATTCTTTTGTTAGGCAAACCTGTATGTGGGACTGGTGGTCATGTGTGGCTTTGTCCTTTTTGATACTCAACTCATTATTGAAAAGGCTGAAAATGGAGATCAAGATTATATCTGGTAAGTGTGGGAACTAGTCTTTAACAAACATGAAGGCTGAGGCACATCGTTCCATTCCACAGCTGAACTTAGTTTGGTGTTGGCTGAACATAGGTGTTCAAGCTTTGGGGGTGTATGTGGTAGGAAACCTATGGTTTTTGGAACTGTGTCCCATAATCTTCCTCAATTCCTGAAAGACTTCAGATTTTTTAAAAATCTGGGCTAATAGGCCAGGCGTGGTGGCTCATACCTGTACTCCCAGCACTTTGGGAGGCTGAGGCAGGCAGATCCCTTGAGCTCAGAAGTTTGAGACCAGCCTAGGCAACTTGGTGAAAGCCCATCTCTATTAAAAATACAAAAAAAGTAACTGGGCATGGTGGCACATGTATGTAATCCCAGCTACTCAGGCAGCTGAGGCACGAGAATCATTTGAACATAGGAGGCGGATGTTGAAGTGAGCCAAGATTGTGCTACTGCACTTCAGCTTGGGCAACAGCAAGACCCTGTCTCAGAAAAAGGACGGGGAAGGGGGCTAATATATTTACATATCCTTAGTGACTATCTCCAGGCAGAGGAGCAGGAAAGAGATCATTCTCCTTTTTCTTTTTATACTTCTGTATTCTTTAAACGTTAAACAATGAGTAGAAGATATACTCTTGTTTAGGGACAGGGTCTCGCTTTGTTGCCCAGGCAGTGTGGTGCCATGAACACGCTTGCTGCAGCCTGAATTTCCTGTGCTCAGGCAGTCTTCCTGCCTCAGCCTCTTGAGTAGCTGGGACAACAGGCACATGTGACCATGTGGGCTAATTTATTTTTTGTAGAGATGGGGTCTTACTATATTGCCCAGATTAGTCTGAAGCAATCCTCCTGCCTTGGTCTCCCTAAATGTTGGGATTATAGGCTTGAGCCACCACGCCCAGCCACTTTTTTTTTTTTTTTTTTTTTTGAGACAGTCTTGCTCTGTCTCCTAGGCTGGAGTGCAGTGGTGATCTTGGCTCACTGCAACTGCAACCTCTGCCTCCTGGGTTCAAGTGATTCTCATGCCTCAGCCTCCCTATTTGCTGGGATTACAGGTGCCTGCCACCATGTCTAATTAATATTTGTAATTTTAGTAGAGACGTTTCTTGTTGCACCTTGTTGCCCTGTGAGGCCGTGGTCTCGAACTCCTGGCCTCAAGCAAAATGCCTTCTAGGCCTCTGAAAGTGGTGGGATTACAGGCATGGGCCACTATGCCCAGCCCACATTTCTTTAAATGTGATTCTCTCAAAATCTCATGACTAATTAATGGTAGTTCAGGGTTCACGGTTGGCCCTCTGCAGAGTCCAAAGCCCTTGAGACAGGGCTTGATCTGTCACCCAGGCTGCAGTAGGCAAGTGGCACTGTCATGGCTTACTGCAGACAACCTCCCCAGGCTCAGGTGTTCCTCAGGTAGCTGGGATTATAGGCACATGCCACCATGCCCTGCTAATTTTTGTATTTTTTGTAGAGACGGGTTTTGCTATGTTACCCAGGTTGGTCTCAAACTCCTGGGCTCAAGTGATCCACCTGCCTCGGCCTCCAAAAATGTTGAGATTACAGGTGTGAGCTACCGTATCCGGCCCAATCGCTTTTCTCTATGCTACAGGACTTAGATGAGTCTAAAAGGATCTCAGATACCAGAGTTTTACTTCTTTAGTTGGGGGTAAAGTGTGGGAGAAGCTGGCTTGTGGGAATGGAGGTGGGGTTTATATTCTGCATCTTTGTGTGCTTGTGGATAAAAGAAAGTCTGAAGTACAGATCCTAATCTGGTTCTTGCCTTTCAGGCACTGCATTGATCTCTTCTTAGATTTTGTTACTCTCTTCAGAAAACTCATGATGATCCTCGCCATGAATGAAAAGGTTAGTTAGCCTACAACCCAAAGATGAGAGAATGATGGCTCCTTGGCTTGGCATGTGCTCGCACACTAGGTAGGTCCAGCGTGGCTGTAAGGCAGGCCACTGAGTAAGAGGTAAAGGTAAATCAGAAGTCTTCAGCTGTTAGAGAAAAAGCAACAAGTTAAAAAAAAAAAAAAAAAAATTTTTTTTTAAACTAATCCCTGAGCTTAGTATCAAAGGGAAAAGAGCTTCAGTGGCAGTAAACATAACCTACTATATGAAGAATTTAAAGGCTATATAGTTGTGACTCAGAGAAAGGTACTATGGAGGACATTTGTAAATTTTGTAAATTTCAGAAGTAGGCTAACTTTATCCATTTGTTAGTCTTAATTTTTTTTCCAAGGAAGCATTCTATATAGGGCTAATGGGTATCAAATATGGTGTAGTCCACAGTGGGGGGAACAAATGAGCTTTTCTTTGCAGACCTTGTATTACAGAGCTAGAGACAGTACAGTGGTAGTGGGAGCAGCTGACCAGATAGGATTGCTGTCTCTGTCTAGGCCGTGCCATGGCTGGACTGAGCACCAAGCAACTCAATTTTTATTCCTTAATACATTGAGCTTCCACCCAAGACCGAATGAAGAATTCTGCTGGACCAAATTATTTCTGAATGTCAGTTCATGCCAAAGACTCATGCTCACCTTGCAGATTGGAGCACTTCCCGGGCCTAATGGATGATTGGTGGTCTTGGCCTCTAGTTTCACTCTTCTCTGATAGAGTGCTATCTGCAGCCTTCACCATTGGGATCTGAGCTGTGGTGGCTGTGAATAGCCTAGAGTAGTCAAGCAGCCCACCTAGGTACTCCTGGGGTGGGGGTGGGGACAGCTGCTTAACCTTTATTCTCGGTAGGTCTGTCGGCAACTTTGGGAACCACCAGTAGGACGTGGTTAAGATTCAGTTCTTGCTGAGCTAAGGAAGCGTTTCTCATTCCTTTTTAATTGTCTGGCTCCCTTCTAGTCCCAAACTAAATGCTCACTCAAGAGTTTTACCTTGAATGTCAAATGTCAAAAATTAATTGGGTGATTTTTTTCTCCATTTCCTAGGATAAGAAGAAAGAGAAGAAATGAAGTGACCATCCAGCCTTTCCGAATTTGACTTACTCTCCTTCCACCCCTCATTTCCTTTTTGCACACATTACAGGTGGTGTGTTCTGTGATAATGAAAAGCATCAGAAAAGCTTTTGTACTTTGTGGTTTCCTCTATTTTGAATTTTTTGATCAAAAAACTGATTAGCAGAATATAGTTTGGAGTTTGGCTTCGTCTTCCTGGGGTTCTCCTCGCTCCCTTTTTTGTTAACTCCATCCATAGCCTCTTCCTCAACTCAGGCAGCCAACTCGCCGTGATGAGGAGTTGGGACCAGCAGAGGGCGCTAACTTCAGGAGTCCACTTTCCCACCAGTGGACCTGAGCTGTTTGGTACAGCCACCCGGCCCTTCCTTCCTCATCATTGTTTGGTATGCGCACAGTTCCTGTGGGACTGGGCCATGAGTTTTCCATTGGAAAGAAGTTCACTGGTCCCATTGTTAACTCAGCCTTGTTATATCTGAACTGTCAGGCCCTACAAAGAAAATGGAGAGCCTCTTCTGGTGGATGCTTTGCTTCCTCTGAGCTGCCCACGCTGATCTGGCAAACATACCTTTCTGCTTTGCCTTCACAAAAGTAATGTGGATTTATGTGTGTTTCCTCTCCCCACCCCTTGCCTGACCCTCAGCGAGTCAGCCTGCTTCCATCCATGGGTGGGAAGACCAGCACAAAGGGAAGACTAATTCTTGTCAGGAATTTTTGAAAAGGCTGATTATATGTCTCAAGGTACAGCATCGTAGGATTCCCCTAAACTTGCCCTGTTTTTGTTTTTTTAGTTGGTTATCCCCTTACTGAATGTTCTCTACTAGGTAGCTATGATTAAGTGTCCCAAGAGAGCAAGGATAGGGAAAGGGAATGGTTGAGCCTCTGGAGTTCATTGTAACCAATCCTGCCAGACCTGTTTGGGGCAGCAGGGAGCAAACCTAGATAAGGACCTGTTTGGGGCAGCGGGGAGCAAACTCTTTACTAACCAAGCGGTTCCTCCTTCAGATCAACAGAACGGGGCTGTGATAACGTAGGAGGCAGCAATCCTAACAGTCCTTCAGTGCATTTTAGTCTGTCCCGAACTAGATACCAATTGGTGGTGTCAAGCCAGAGATTCAGGGCAGTAGATAAATGTTCACTTTACTGATACACTTTAGTTTTTGGTCTGTTACCTATTTTCCAGAAATTTGTGGCCTTTTAAGCAGGAGTTAGGTGACCAAACCAGTGAGAGCCCCAATCCATGCAGCCTTTGGCTTCCAAGTGTGGATGGACAGTTCTAATGGCGATCTCCAGCTCCTTCCCTGTGGGCTGCCACAGACAGCTGCCCACAGAGGGGCCAGTGTGGGGCGTGACTGTTTCTCTGAGCTGCTGTACAGGGCTACAGTATGAGAGGATCGAGCCTTTGAAAGCTCATTACCAGTAGGACATAATTTTTGGCTCTCCTTATTCACAACCAGTGCACAGTTTGACACAGTGGCTGCAGGTTCACAGTGTACCATGTCACTGTGTTATCCTATGAAACCATTTGTTTCCAAGTTGTGTTTATTCCTGGAGTGGCATGCCACCCAGAATGGCTCACTGAGGGTGCTGTTCTGATTTAGCTGCTGCCTCCAGCCTCTGGCTTGATAACTTAATAAAGGGACTTTATTTGTATTAAACCCCTGTTAGCAGCACTCTCCATGAATTTGGTGATTCTCTGCCAGTCCCAAGAATTTGAGTTATATCCCTTGAAGCCAAACTCTACCTTCTGTGCTTTTATTGCTTGGAATAATGGAGTTCTTTAGAAACAGTGCCAAGAATGACAAGATATTTAAAAAAAAAAACAAAAAAAAACTACTTTTAAAGAAAATGCCTAACAGATTTTTAAAATACAGTTATCTCTAATTACCACTTTATTTTCTAGTTCCTTAATTTTCAGCTCAGGCTGCATTCTAACTCATACTGTGAAGACAAAGGTGTTTTTGATTGAGAAATATATGAAATCTACATAGTCTTAATTTGTAAAAAATAAAGAAAATTCCTTAACCTTTACTGGTGTTTGTGTTAAATTCAAGGGTACTGCTGGTCAGAGAGCTTGTGATACTGCCTGGTTTGCTAGTGGGGGGCTGAGAGTGGGACACAATTGAGTTTGTGCCCTAGGGATGAAAACAGACAAAGCCCCCCACATAGACCTCCCACTCTGTAGCCCCTACATGCCACAGATACTGAGAATTTTCTCTCAAATATGTAGACGCCAGTTCTTTATCCAGTCCTCTCTGCCCCCCTGCCACCTTTGCTGTAGATTGTTTGTGGTAGTGGTAGGTGCAGTTGTTTCAGATGTGCAGTCAAGCTTTGGAATTTAAGGATGCATAATTGGAAAAAAGGCAAATGATACACACTCGTTCTGCAAAAATTTTTTTTTACATTAAAATATTTTTGTTCTTGTTGAGACTGGGACTCACTCACTCTATTACCCAGGTTAGAGTACAATGGCAGAATCATGGCTTACTGTAGCCTTGACATCCTGGGCTCAAGCTGTTATCCCACCTCAGCCTCCCAAGTAGCTGGGACTACAGGTGTGTACCACCACACCTGGCTAATTAAAAAAAAAAAAAAATTTGTAGAGACAGTGTCTCACTATGTTGCCTAGGCTGATCTCCAACTCCTGGGCTCAGTCAATCCTGCCTTGATCTCCCGAAGTTCTGGGATTATAGGCATGAGCCACCATGTCCAGCCCCAAAACATTTTTATTACCCTCCAAAAAAATCTCTCCACTCATTAGCAGGGTTAATTTCCTTCTCTCTTTCTCTGTGACCCCAACAATTACTAATTTACTGTCTCTAGATTTGCCTGTCCTGGACATGTCATACAATCAGAATCATATGTAGCCTTTGGTATCTGACTTATTTAACTTAGCATAATATTTTAAAGTTCATCCACATTGTAGCATGTATTAGTACTTCATTCCTTTATTTATGTGTTTGTTTTTTTTGAGACAGAGTTTCACTCTGCCCACGCTGGAGTGCAGTGGCATGATCTCGGCTCACTGCAACCTCTGTCTCCCAAGTTCAAGTGATTCTCCCTCAGCCTCCCGAGTAGCTGGGATTACAGACACGCACCACCACACCCAGGTAATTTTGTATTTTTTTTTTAGTAGAGACGGAGTTTCACCATGTTGGCCAGGATGGTCTCGAACTCCTGACCTGAGATGATTCACCCGCCTTAGCTTCCCAAAGTGTTGGGATTATAGGCGTAAGCCATTGCGTCCAGCCCACTTCGTTCCTTTTTATGGCTGAATCATATTCCATTGTATGACTATACTACATTTTGTTTGTCCATTCACATTAAATGTCCAGTGATCAGCATTTGGGTTGTTTCCACTTTTTGGCTATTATGCATAATGCTGCTATAAGCATTCATGTACAAGTTTTTGTGTGGACATAACGCTTTCACTGATCTTGGATATATACCTAGGAGTAGAGTTGCTGGATCATATGGTAACTTTATTTTTGAGACAGAGTCTCACTCTGTTGCCAAGGCTGGAGTGCAGTGATACGATCTTGGCTCACTGCAACTTCTGCCTCCCTGGTAGAAGCAATTCTCCTGCCTCAGCCTCCCAAGTAGCTTATCTGGGATTATAGACGCCTGCCACCGTGCCTGGCTAATTTTTTGTACTTTCAGTAGAGACGGGGTTTCACCATGTTGTCCAGTCTGGTCTCAAACTCCCAGGTGATATGCCCACCTTGGCCTCCCAAAATGCTGGGATTACAGGCATGATCCACTGCACCCCAGCCATATGGTAACTTTAGATTTAACTTTTTAAGGAATTGCCAACCTGTTTTTCAAAGTGGCTGTACCATTTTATGTTCTCGCCAGCAGTTTCTGTGGTCACTAATTTCTCTACATCCTTGCCAACATTCCTTATTACTGATGGTTTTGTTTATAGCTATCTTATTAGATATGAAGTGATTATTTCACTGTTCTTGCTTTCCATTTCCTCAATGACTAATGATGTTGAATATCTTATTGGCCATCCTATATCCTTAGAGAAATGTCAAGACTTTTGTTCATTTTTTTTACTCGGGTTGTCTTTTTATTGTTGAGATGTTGAGTTCTTTATATATTCTGGATACTTACCAGATATATGGCTTGCAAATATTTTCTCCCATTCCATGGGCTGTTTTTTTGTTTTTTTTGTTTTTGAGATGGAGTCTCACTCTGTCATCCAGGCTGGAGTGCAGTGGCACAATCTTGGCTCACTGCAACCTCCGCCTCCTGGGTTCAAGCGATTCTCCTGCCCTCAGCCTCCTAAGTAGCTAGGATTACAGGCGTACACCACCACACCCAGCTAATTTTTGTATTTGTAGTGGAGATGGGGTTTCACCATGTCGGTCAGGCTGGTCTCGAACACCTGACCTCCTGATCCACCCGCCTTGGCCTCCCAAAGTGCTGGGATTACAGGCGTGAGCCGCCGCACCTGGCCTCCATGGGCTGTTTTTAAATCCTTTTTAATGATTATTTGAAGCAAGAACATTTTTAATGTTGATGAAATTCAATGTATCCATTTTCTTTGGTTGCTTGATAAAATCTGTTGCTTGAGCTTTATGTGTCATATCTAAGAATGTAACACATTTTAAATCAAATCATTTATATAGATAAGATCTCATAAAAATTTTTTTGCCTTGGGATCCACACACTGTAAGAGTGTCCCTGTTTCCGTTACTGAGTTTTGTCTACTTTCAAAGGGAAAGAAATTAGACTACACCTTTTGAGATATCAAAGAATTTAAGGACATATTTACAGCCACTTGAGCACCAAGAAGGATGGAATTGCCATCAGCTGCAATTTTTCATACCCATGCTTCTATCAGATGGAAAAAGTAAAAGACTTGGAAGGCCAATGCCTCCCCTAAATGGGGGAAAGCATATTTCCTGAAATTAAAACTGTTTAGAGGTATTTTTTTTTTTGGTCATTTTATGAGTTTTAGTTACACTGATAAACATTTACTAATCATTTATCACAAATTAAATAGTAGAGCAAATTTCTAAACAATGTCCTAAAGATAATAAACATCTTTTGACTCTGCATACAAAATGCTGTACCCCAATTGTTCCCAGTCCCTGTTACTCTCTCAGCAGAATTAGAAGCCACATTTGAGATGTTTTTTTAAACATGATCTTCAATTTTTTAAACATGATCTTTTAGATTTCATCAAGAAGTTGAGACTATATTCTCTCCCCTTAAATGTGGGCAACCTGTGGCTGTTTCAATGAACAGACTACAGAGTAAGTGATGCAGTATGACTTCCATGGTTGTGTCATGAAAAGCTATTCAGACTTGCTCTTGGGACACTTCCTCTTAGAACCCAGCCACCACCTTGTGAGCCCAAGCCACTTGAAGAGGCCATCTTTAGGTGCTGTGATCTACAGTCTCAACTAACCCCAGCTTTTGAGTCATCCTAGCTCAGATGCCACATATGTGAATGAAGGAGACTCCAGCTGAGTCCAGTCATTTGAGTCTTTTCCAGCTGACACCCTGCTGTGCCCAGTCCAAATTCCTGTCACATAGAATCTATGAGCCAAATAAAATGGTTATTGTTTTATGCCACCAAGTTTGGGAGTAGTATAGATATTGAAACAGTGTTCTCTTTTTTAAAAAAATTCTATTTATTTTTAATTTTAATAGGTTTTGGGGGAACAGGTGGTATTTGGTTACATGAGTAAGTTCTTTAGTAGTGACTTTGGAGCCGTACATCATCCAAGCAGTGTGCGGCTGTACCCATTGTATCATTCTTCCGCCTTTGTGTCCTCAAAGCTTAGCTCCTACTTATGAGTGAGAACATAACAATGTTTGGTTTTCCATTCCTGAGTTACTTCACTTAGAATAATGGTCTGTAATTCCATTCAGGTTGCTGCAAATGCCATTATTGAGTTCCTTTTTATGACTGAGTATTATTCCATGGTGTGTATGTATATATATATACACACACCACATTTTCTTCTTCCACTCATTGATCAATGGGCATTTGGGCTGGTTCCATATTTTTGAAATTGCAAATTGTGCTGCCATAAACATGCCTGTGCAAGTATCTTTTTTGAATAATGCCGCCTTTTCTTCTGGGTAGACACCCAGGAGTGCGTTTGCTGGATCAAATGATAGATCTACTTTTAGCTCTTTAAGGACTCTCCACACTGTTAAACCCCTTCAGGGTTTAAGTGATTCTCCTCCCTCAGCCTCCTGAGTAGCTGAGATTACAGGCACATGCCACCATGCCTGGCTAATTTTTTTTGTTTTTTTGTTTTGAGACAGAGTCTTGCTCTGTCGCCCAGGCTGGAGTGCAGTGGTGCAATCTTGGCTGACTGCAACCTCCACCTCCCAGGTTCAGGCAATTCTCCTTGCCTTAGCCTCCTGACCTTGAATAAACTGAATGATCCTTTTTCTCATCTGTAATGTAGTCATTGTTCCTACCTCCCAGGGCGATTACAAAGATTAAATGAGTTAATACATTATAAAACATCGTGAATACCATCTAGCATCTAATAGCCAGAAAATACTGTGAAGAAAACCCTTACAAATAGAGTTGAGGAAGACCTTAAAAAGAGGGTTTTCAGCCAGGCGAGGTGGCTTACACCTGTAATCCCAGCACTTTGGGAGGCTGAGGCGGGCAGATTACGAGGTCAGGAGTTCAGGACCAGACTGGCCAACATGGTGAAACCCTGTCTTTACTAAAAATACAAAAATTAGCCTGGTGTGGTTGTGGGCTCCCGTAATCCCAGCTACTCAGGAGGCTGAGGCAAGGAGAAACGGCATTGCTATTAAAAATACAAAAATAAGCTGGGCGTGGTGGTCTCAAAACTCCTAGGCTCAATTCATCCTCCCTCCTCAGCCTCCCAAAGTGCTGAGAGATTACAGGCATGGGCCACCACCTGTAATAATTTGCCAGGGCAAATTATTAAGTAAAACTGTTAAATATATGTGTTCCCACTTCTCCCACACCTTCCTAGGAAAGAGATGGGAAGAGGAGGTTTGTGTTTCTATTTTTTTTT